GGCATATTAGTTGTTCTTTTAAGTTTTAAATTTTGGAATATTTTATTTATTTATTTATTTATTTATTTATTTATTTATTGCTGGAAAACTTGTCTCTGAACTCACCAAACTCTCAGCTACAACCACTGAACAGCAGTGGGCACCAGGCAGGCCTTTAATTTGGTTACTGATGGGCTCTTAGAGCTATAACAATATCTTCTCCTTTGGTAGATGCTGAAATCAGCATCCAGAGGAAGAAACTGTGGGAGAAAAGAGCCTGAACTGAGTTGGAAGACATTTTCAATACATCCCCACTTGTTTGTCTCTCTTCCACTGTCTGCCCCTTTGCCGGAAGCATCTAGCACCTATCCTATCAACCACGTTCCATTTTTTTCACCCTGAAGAAAAATCCCTTCTGATGTGATAACTTAAGTTGACGTGTTCCATTCCATTAAAAATGGGACTAGACTTACAAGTCCCCATCTAGAGCTGGCAGCTGTTTGTTGGTGAACATTCCACAAAACCAAGCTCAAATGTTTAAACTGAAGAAAGAAATGAAGATGGAAAAGAAAGATTTATGTGGGTAATTTTAAAGTGTAGATGGGTAAGATCTATTCTCATGTTAAAGGAAAATATGTGAACATATGAGAGAAAAATAAGTAGCAACACATTCAAAGTTATGACCACGCAGTATCATAGGTTTATAAAATCTTGTCCTTGGAAAGGGAATGAAACTTTAATTCTTCCCCAGTTCATGAATCTCCTCTTCATCAATATAAAGAGGTCATCCTGTCAGATGCCAGAAATCCATTAGAAATTATTAAATAGGGCATTATTAGGAGATGGATCATTGTAATAAAAATCTCCATATAAAACAATAGAGGGGCGCCTCGGTGGTGCAGTCGGTTGAGCATCGGACTCTTGGTTTCGGCTCAGGTCATGATCTCAGGGTCGTGAGATCAAGCCCCGAGTCAGGCTCCACACTCAGCAGGGAGTCTGCTTGATGATTCTCTCCCTCTTCCTCTGCCCCTCCTGCTCATGCTCTCTCCCTCTCCCTCTCCCCCTCTCTCACTAAAATAAATAAATCTTTTTTTAAAAATTAAAATGAAATAAAAATAAAGCAATGGATAAGGTGGTTGAATGCTGACGTGACAGGTCCTCTTGTACTCACCCTAAGACACTCTCATTCTCTCCATTTATAGATAAGGAAATTCAGGTTAACAGGCTTTAACATCACACTGCTCACAAATAATCTATCTGCTCGACTTTGAAATCCAACTTACCTGATGTCAAAGCTACTGCTATCACAAATATCTACTATCAGAGTATCACATGTATCGAAATTAATTTTCTATGCTTGACGGGTCTTAGGTGTTTATTTTTCTCATGCAAAGAGTTTGCAATCAGCCTAGATCCACCCAGATTCCTGAAACTGACTTCACAGAAGTGCCCTAAATTACAGTTTCTAAGTACATGCAAAGTTCATGCAAATAAGTGAATATCACTTACCTATCAGCTCTCAGTATTCTTTAGTACCCACGTGTTGCTATCAGTATAGGACACCAGGAGAAACAAAAGTAGAATTTTGAGAAGATGATGGGAAGTAGCACATCATTTGCTTTCTTTTATTATTCACCACTCACAGCTATAAATCATCATTTTTTGTTTGTTTGTTTGTTTGTTTAACTCTGTGCACATGAGTGGGGGTGTGGGGTTGGGAGTGGAGGATTCAGGTATAACAGAACTGCAGAGTGATCATTTGCTGAGTTTTATGTGGGTAAATGTGAATTGTGTGAGATTAAGTGGAGAAACGGAATATATTAGTATGAGTACATTCCAAGTTAAGTCTTTTCTAGAATGCTCTAAATGTTCCCATTTCCTCTGTGGCCTGGGTATGCATTGCTAATTGTTAAAAAAGAGATGACAACATTTGCCATGGTAAATCAATTTACATATTAGGTACTTATTAATTATTTTAGAATTATTTTGCTTTTAAAACAATGATTTGACAAAACAAAAAACAATGACTTGGCATATCTAAATAATACTCAGATGTTGAACTTCAGATACAATTTTTTTGAGGATTACCACTGTAGAATAATTTGCTAGATTTCTTTTAGGGGTCCATACCATACCATTTCTGCTGATACTACTCTAAAATCTTACTAGCATGAAGGTAACAAAATGACCACATAAAATGGTCACTCTTTCTGTGTTGGGTTGCTAAAACAGCCTTCACTTTCTATAATAAGCTATTTATGCTCACTTCGTTTTGCTTCATTTTATTTTTGTCGCCTCTGGTGCTATCTCAGTGTACTATAATGGAATGATGCTGAATCAGACAAGCTGTAATTTTTATTGCAAGCATATCTCAAGGCAAATTTATGAACTGAACTTGATATCAGAAATGAAGCTAGAGGGAACATACCTTTGTTCTAAGTTACAAAATGCTCTACTATATTCTAAATTTGAAGTATGTTGAAAATAAAATGCTTTTTTTTCTGACATCAGGAATTTCACATAGGCAATATATTAAGAAATTCCTTTAAAATTTTTATTGTGTACAAATCAGTTTCACCAACAAAACTGTTTGTATTACAATTCTATATTCAAGTTGTAAAGCTGATATTGAAGGTGATGTTATACCACAGAAACCTGATTAAATTAATGATCCTAACATTTGATTTCAATTTTCTTTTCATGAAAAGCTAAGAGGGAGTGTTAATTTATTTAATGGTATTTTACTGGTATGATTATTTGGGCAAACAAATTATATATTTAGGTATGGGCATACAAAAATTTTACCCCTAGATTATGATCTCACCATCACCAAATTGAAAGTTTCTGAGAGTTAAATAGAGATTGATGGCTGAACCTTCTAAGCAGCAAGCGGCCAATCCTATCCTGGGAGGGTCTCTGATGAACTGTGACATGGTCTTCTCCAGCCATGAAACCTTCAGTTCTAGAAGGTGCAAGCTCCATACAACTACCTAGCATAGGTCCTTGTATCTATAGGTATTGAACGAATTGCTATTTGCCATTGCTATTATAACCTGTGTTGACAATGTTTCATTTCTTTTTCCTGTGTTACCACTTTAGAGCATCCTCCACTAAACAGTAGGAAATATGTTAAAATGTTAATGTTTTGAATAGTTTCACTCCTACTACTGGAAACAGCAGTCAGTGAGTAGTAAATGGCCTTTGGAAACAAAAGTCTTATTGCTATACTGTTAACAAGATAATTATGGGATGTCGCAGGAGCAGATGCCCTGTTATTCTCCTATGAGGTTTCACCCTAGCTACGTGCAGCTCACTTTTATTCCTGCTTTTGCCCTCAATTTTTCTTCATACTGTCACTTTATCTTTTTACAAGTGGCAGAATTAGTTTAATAGTTGTAGAATATTCCAGCAAATTTTTCCTTGGAAATAGTCATTTTTAAATGCATCATTTTATGCAGAAGTATAGAACAAAGAGGAATTATCATATTAGTGTCCATTGAATAACTGACACATGTCAACAACCTAAAACTCAATAAAATGTAGATTAAATTTTGCTGAAAGTTACCATTAGAAATTGGTATGAATACTTCTCTAGCAAACACAGCCCATAATTTACTGTTTGCAATAGAGTTTTGCACATGATGGAAACCGGTGACGGGCAAGAGTATTCCCAATACCCTTGCCCAATGCTAGTGTTGTTTGCAAAGGCCCCCAGGAAATCATTAGCAAACTCCATCTAGAAACAGACCAAAAGGTCAGAGGTATACATAACATGAGATTCATGACCCAAGGTTGTGGAGGGCTGTGAATATTCTTGTTCAAAATATGGTATGGTGTTTCAAAGCATCTGCTGCCATTCTTAGAGGTTAGTGAGCTTGAATAAGCCAGCGTCTAATTTTGAACAATATGCCAAAGACGCATATTTGTTCTTAAACCTCAGTCATTAGAGTTGAACCCCTACACAAACTCAAATGAGTTTCAGTAGAAGCAGTAATTGGTTCTCCAAGTTAGAAAGTATAGAGTGGCTCAGAAACCTAAATGTAAGGAAACTGACCACCAGGTACTATCTATAACTCAAAGATCGATGTGAAAATCCTGACCATATTCTGAATTATATTCAGCTTTCCAGAGGCATGAATTTTATTCTATTTGAATACAAATAGAAGTCTCTCTCTCTCTCTCTCTCTCACACCCCCCCCACACACACATGCATATGCATGCACACAAAGTTAAATCAAATATAGCAATATAGAAATAAGAGGCAGCATCTTGCAGTAAAAACATAATAAAATAAAATACTATAGCCTTTGAAGCCAGTCAGATCTACATTTGAATCTTATCTCATCTCTCACTGACTGTACCATACTGAGCAAATGCCTTATACTCTCAATCTGAGTTTTCTCATCTATAAAATGGGTGAAATACTTCTGAGAAATGGGACATTGCTGTGGGAATAATGTATGTCAGTTGCTGGTTGTATGTAGTAGCCACTTGTTAAGTAGTGACTCTCATAAATACTAATTTTTAAGTATACACTTGACCTCAAAGCATGTTGTTTATGCAAAATGTAATTATTTTTTAAAATATTTAATCATTGCCACCTAAAAGAATATAGGCTTAAGGCTTAAAACATATAGCATTTTTTAAACTAAATTATTATTTGATTATCCAGCAATATAACTTAATTTGTTTTTGTTTTGATGGGATTGCTAGATTTAGTTTTGTTTTTGGTTTTTTCACAGTAAAGGTTCACCAAAAAAAGCATTGCCTTACCACTAGAAATTTTCATTTTTCTTCCAGGAATGAAGAAATGAATTTTGTCTTCTGATGATTAATGCGTCATACACCTAAAAGCAATTTTCCTTATATATTACATTTTAATATTAAGAAACCACAAAATAAGAAAAGCAGTTTGACATCTATATTTACATATATTATTCTCTCTGTTTCCTATAACTTTATTTCCAGTTGAAAATATTCAGTACTCTTTCTTGTGTCTCTCTTCTCTCCTAATAATGAAGATCTCTCCAGGACCTTTCCAAGCAAACAGACATCCCTTACGGCACAGTACTGGATTCTGCAGTATATGAACATGTCCGCATGAAGGGAATGAATCCTTTTGAAAGGGACAGCATGTATTCCCAAATGTGGCGGATGATCAACAGAAGCAATGGATCAGAGAATAACGTTCTGGAATCCCAAGCAGGCATTCAAAAGGTACTGGTCATTGTTCTACTACAGTAGTCTAGTCTGCTATTTTGTCTCCCATATTGGAATTGCTACATTAAGATTGGTTTATTTCTTTTTTAAAATTTTAACTTTGACATAGAGTTTGCAATTAAATTATACCTCCTATTGATTTAAAGAAGATTTTGAGTTGGCAGACTGCTTAAGCAGAGGGAATTCAAAGCCTTCTGTGCTGTGTCTAATGGATCTGTCTTCAGTGGAATTCCGAAGCTAGAAAACATAAGCTAGTATTTTGTTCAGAATGGGTTAAGGGCTTATGCACATGAAGACTGAAAAGGTTTTTACAAATCCCATTCCGAATATCATTAGGGTTATCCAATTCTTTCAAATGACTTGGGGGTATTTTCTATACTGCATTTGTTTTTAGATGAAAACCTTATCTTTACTTATGATTATGTGGTGGGTAAAAGTTAATCTTGTCACCAATAAGGTTCCTGCAAATGTCTATTTCTATTCCAAAAGTGAAAATCTTTATTTCTATCTTATTTTAAATAACCATCATTTAGAAGTTATTTTATCAGGGGGGAAAAAAAAGGCTTACGAAGCAGTCCTTCGTGTAAAACATGAAGCTAGTTTTTATTCTGGGCTGTGGTTTATAAACACGTATGCAGAAGTAATTCTTTCTTCCTCAAGCCCCATCAATCTGCATGAGAGAACCGAATGATTTTTGTTTAAAATTATCCCAGTGGCTAGCACAGTGAAAATCACAATGATTGACATTAAATAAATAATTGTGGGATGAATGAATGAATGAATGTCAATTATAGCAACAAAGGTGGTATACACTTTTTCTCTGTAACCTTCCACAGCAGAATAATTTGGACCCCATGTTGAGTTCCTTGTTCAAAAGGCAAACTTATTAATACTATGTTGGAGAATGTTTTGTTTTTTTTTTAAAGATTTTATTTATTTATTTGACAGAGAGAGAGAGATAGCGAGAGCAAGAACACAAGCAGGGGGAGTGGGAGGGGGAGACGCAGGCTTCCCGCTGAGCAGGGAGCCCGATGTGGGACTCGATCCCAGGACCCTGGGATCATGACCTGAGCCGAAGGCAGACGC